TTTTTGATGAGCGGAGGTCATGACCACGTTAAGACCCCCCATAACAATGATGAACAAGAAGGGAGATAGCGGGTCACCTTGTCTGATGCCTTTGGTAATCGGGAATTATTTTTTCGCCAACCCATTGATAAGAACCGAGGCTCTAGAGGTGAGGTAGCACCTAATCCAAAATATTCATTTCTCCTCAAAATCAATTTGAGACATAATCGAAAACAAGTTGTAACGCCCCAAAATTACCGGTTAAAAAATTTTCATTTTTAATTTAGGTTAAAACGTAAAACATCATTACAAAACATTCATGATAATAATCCATGTCAGAAAACCGGTGACATCATAATAAGAATTCAGAGTACATCCCAGAAAATCTATAGTGCGGAAAAACAAAAGCATATGTGTGATATGTTGCTAACGCGCCGACTCTTTTCCCTTAGCTGAAGAGGTACATGAAACCAAAACTGTAAACTGTAAGCACAAAGCTTAGTGAGTTCCCCCATAATACCTCATACCATGCAAGCATATAACAAACAACATTCAACTAGGAGTTACGGGCCTCGCCCACACTCGGGAAGATACGGGCCCTGCCCACACTTCGCTAGCCGGGAGATACGGGCCTCGCCCACACTTATGAAGATACGGGCCCTGCCCACACTTTGCTATCTGGGAGATACGAACCTCGCCCACACTTATGAAGATACGGGCCCTGCCGACACTTCGCTATCTGGGAGATACGGACCTAGCCTACACTCCACTCTCGGAGAGATACGGGCCTTGCCCACACTCAACCGCCAACTCATATTATACAAGTATCACACAGACAACAAGTACAGACAACTCTATCATACCGTCACATATATCATACTCGACTAAACCTAGAGATACGGGCTCGGCCCACACTCTAGTACTAACATCTCGTCTACATGGGTCAGCCTTGGTGCCTTAGACCCGTTCCTACTGGAAAGGAAACTCACCTCGAAATAGCTGCTGGTTTGTGTGGGAATCGACTGTCTGTTGCTATTGCTGCTCCGGAAATCCTCCGGCTGTAATTCCCACAACATACTCAATCAATCACTACTAACTGTCCTTTGGGTAAAATGACCATTTTACCCCTGATCACGTCATAAGACAAGGTCAGAGTCAACTTTCAGTTGACCCGACTCGCCGAGTTGGCTCGCCAACTCGTCGAGTCCCTATTCAATCGACTGCCCTGGATCCCGTCCCTACTCGTCGAGTTAGACGTTGACTTGACGAGTTCTCCTTCTAAACTGAGGTTCAAGTCCTTCATCCTACTCGCCGAGTTGTATGAACAACTCGGCGAGTTCATCTTCATCCGATGAACACTTATGCTAAGACTCGCCGAGTTGTATGAACAACTCGTCGAGTCTGATCTTGATCTAAGGAGATTGCCTTGAACTCGCTGAGTTAGGGCAATGACTCGCTGAGTCCCTTTATGGATGAGTTCGACTTCCAACTCACTGAGTCACACCCCGTGACCCGCTACTCTACTCGACACAATGAAAAGGGGACAAACTCGGAGACTCGCGAGCAGACTCGCCGAGTCGTTACCATGCACTCACTACATACGCGATGCTGCTCGATTCCAGTCCTTGCCATTCACAGATCTGGGTTCCTAGAGCATGAATAACACGTAAAGTTTCCAACTTTACGTGTAAATATTCCTCAATGAGAGTTTTAGGGTTCAAAATGCACCAAAAGAGTATATCTAGGGTGTACAAGCAACATGGGTCCATAAAGGCAATGGATCCAAGCTCCTGGAGCTCGATTCCACCTAGATCTAGAGGCTAATCAGCCTAAAACGAACCCTCCACATACACAAGTTTGGAAAATGGGTCAAGAAGGACTTTAATGGGGCCATAAGCATGAAAACATGGGGGAAAACGAGCCATACCTTAGTGAACACTCTGAGATAGCTCAAGGATGCTTGACCTCCTCTTCTTCTTCTTGATCTCCTTTCCTACTCACTCCAAACTTCAAGAGGACACACCAATGGCTTCAAATCCACAAAAACGAGGCTTAGAACGAGGTGTAGGGCTCTGAGGTTGAATGGGGTCTGGCTTGGGGCGGAAAGAGTGATTAAATAGGGTGCAAACCCCTAAAACTTAGGGTTTCATCCAACATCGGTGACTCGCCGAGTCCAGGATATGGACTCGCCGAGTCGCCAACTTATAACGTGTCCCGGGTCCCGTCTCTACTCGGCGAGCCGGACCTATGACTCGCCGAGTCCAAGGCTAAAAATGGAAAATACTCAAATAAGATTTACGTACCAGGAACCAGGTGCTACAAAAGTATTTTCAATTGATATAGTAAAAAGGTTTATAGTATGATATTATATTGTTGATTGTGTTCTTGTGCATGCTTTTTATATACTTAACAAACAAATATATTCTTTTTTTCACATTATTTACATATTATTATTTATAGTCTAACCAAATCTATTTTACAAGGCGTTGTTCTCTAATATATTATTTTAATATGTGTTTCATGTAACATAGCTTATGAACACTTAACACTTTAGGGACTTAACACAACGTTATTGATTTGGGGTTTTATTTAATATTCATGTGTGGCCTTGGATGCAGTTGTTTATGATTTTCTGATCCACTTACATAATTGAGTTGCGGTTTCTTGAAACATTTTTAGAACTTTTTTTTTTTTTTTTTTTAATTTTTCTTTGTTGTTTATTAAAAATCATTTATTTTATAAAGCATAATCTTGTTTTAAAACCGAATGTATTTTACTAAGGATGGTAATTTCGATCCAACCCAAAACCCTATATGAATTAAACGAGTTTGGGTTGAAATTTCTTACTCGTCAAACTATCTTTTCATGGGTCAGGTTCAGATTATGTGTTTGGGTCTACGGATCAACCCGCCAAATTTACAGGATTTTTAAAAAATATTTAATATTTATAAATTAATTGGTATTTGCTTGAAGCGTGTCATAGAAGGCTAGAATCGAGAATCCTGAATCACAAACACCCTTCGTAGTTTGCACTTCACCCTTTCTTCATCTCGTCCTCATCGACTCTCCCCTTCGTCCCGCCGGGTACTCTGTGCCGACGCCAGAAAACACGAGCTCCACCGTCACTATCTGACGTTTTAGTAATTTGCCACGTTGCCACCAACATTGTTCCGTATTTAGTGTATATGCTTAAATGCTATTTAGTAATTAATTTTAAATACATGTATAATCCATATAAATTTAATATGAAAAGTTAACCCAAAACTCAACCGCTGACCCTCTAACCTGAAACTGACCCACCGACCTGAAATTGATTTGTGAACCCGCAAACTTGTATAAATAAACGTATTATGTGGGTCGTGTTCGGATTGGTGTTTCCAACCCGCGAATCCATGACTCGTTAACTTGAATACATACATAGGCTAGGCTGGATCGATGTACCCTCACCCACCAACACCACCCAATTGTCACCCATACTGTTTACGGCTTTAGGGGATTGTTAAAAAACTTTTAAAAAATTATAATGACTTTAATAAAACTTGAAAATTACATAGTGACATTTAATCAATGTTTTAAAAACTGATTGAAGCGGTCGATCGAACCTGTTGGACCGGGAACCGAGAGAATGAGCGGTTTAACTATCACCGATTTTACATCGATTTCTGAACCGGATTGATCCGACCGATTTTTAGAAAAAACGGTTGAACAGATCAAAATAAACCGATTGAACCAGTTAAACCGAATAAAAACACGGAGAAAATAACCATTTGCATAATAAACTTTGATGATTTTTTTTTTCAAATCTATCTAGTTTTGTCTAAATAAAAACATATGGTAAATGTCATAAAGTTTTTTGATGTATTTTTATTCATCAAAAACTATATTTTGTTTTACTATTATAATTTATTTTCTTTTTGATATATATGAATTGATGCAAAACACTGAAATTTATTATTATGTGTTATTTTTAATGTATTTGAATTGATCTACAACATATTTTTATATGGATTTTTAATGTTTGAATTTGTAAACGTCAAATTCATGATTTATATATGTATGTATGAATAGAAAGATAGGAAAAAAAATTATAGAAACTGGTCGACCTGGCATTAGAACTGGTTAAACTGGTTACCATACCAGTTCAACTAAAAAACGATTTTTAAAACATTGCATTTACTAGATTTTTAATTTAGCCTCGACTTGTATTCTTTGGAGTTCGTTAACTTTTTGAAAAAATCTTGCATTTTTTAGCAACTAACAATAACTCCAACCATTCTCGATTTATTACCATTTTTGTGTTTTGGAGACCAAATATCCTCTAACCAACCTTTAAATTTAATATCATTATATATATATATATATATATATATATATATATGTATGTATGTATGTATGTATGTATGTATGTATGTATGTATGTATGAATAAGAAAATAGAAAAAAAAATGAAAATTATAGAAACCGGTTGTTTTGACGGTCGGACCGGTTAAACTATTCACCATATTAATTCAACTAAATAATTGTTTTTTAAAACAGTGCATTTAATAGATTTTTAATTTAGCCTTGACTTGTATTCATTGGAGTTTGTTAACTTTTAGAAAAATTCTTGCATTTTTTTAGCAACTAACAATAACTCCAACCATTCTCTATCCATCACCATTTTTGAGTTTTGGAGGTTAAATATCCACCAACAACTTTTAAATTTAACATCATTTTTATGTTGGCTTCCTTTAAACACTAAATATAAAGATCAAATAGAAAGTCCTCTAAAAATACATCATTTTAAATGTTGGTTGGAGTTAAATCATAAAAAATAAAAAAAAAAAAAAAAAAATACTATTTTTGTTAATTTTTTTTGTTATGTTATTGGAGAAAATCTAATAAGTGGACTAAAATTGCTAATGTTTTCTTTTATATAATTCTATTAACACAACCCTAAATTAGATTCAACTCTGTCACCGTCCGCTCGTCCGTTCATTTTCTGTGCTCGACCTCTTCTGCTCTCCGGCGCCTCACGGCCCTATGCTATTCTCCGGTGTCGCTCTACTGTTTTCTACTCCGCCTCCTCCATATACAACGCTAAATCGCCAAAATCGGCTGCTTCCTCCGTCAGGCGAGTTATTTTTATTTCTGTCACCATATATACGACCTACTCACTAAATACGCGAAGATAATCAGGCGGAAACAACTCAGCCACTTTTCGTTCTGTACCACCATTAACGAGGTATGTAAAAACACTTCTTGTTCTTGCTGGAAATTAGTTAATATTATATATGCATGCTACCTGTTTGATGAAAGTCCCCAATGAGGCAATGAACAGTTTTTTATTTATGGAGCTGTTTCTAGACGTGGTTTTGATATGGAAATTGAACTTGGGGTTTCATAACTCTAACTCAGGTAACAGCAGTAAGCATTTCGGATTTCATGAGTCACATCTCCAATCTCGAAGTCTCGAATTCATTGTCACGGTTGCTCACATCGTGGCTGTTTTACACTTGCATCGCACAACACGAAATCAATATCGAATTGCCACCAAATCTTTATGTACCTCAAGTCATCCTATTCTTGAATCCACCAGTCTTAAACACCGGTTCAAAAACTGGCAAGAAGAAAGAAAGTATACGCTAACAGCAAGCACTTTTGCACAAGCTATCGGCTTTTGGCCCAACAGAAGAGTCCAACTCTGGCTAGAAAAGATAGGTGCTGTCGAACCCTTCACAGGAAACCTCTCCACTTGTTGGAAAAACATCAAAGAAAAGGAAGCACTTGAAAGATACAAAAATATAACCGGGAATGCCAATTCCGTTTTCTTTCCTGATTTCCATGTTAGCCGGAATTTGAATTCCGATGGGGACCGGAATCGGAATTGGCTTGCAGCATCTCCTGATGGGGTAATCGACAAGATGGTTTATGGGTTGCCTTGCCGAGGGGTGTTAGAAATAAAATGCCCATTTTATAAGGGTAATATGAGAAAAGGTTTCCCATGGACACAAGTTCCATACAATTACATCCCACAAGCTCAAGGATTGATGGAGATTTTGGACCGTGATTGGATGGATTTTTATGTGTGGACTCCAAAAGGGAGTAGTTTAATTAGGATAGATAGAGATTTAGAATATTGGAATGTGTTACAGATGGCATTGTCGGATTTTTGGTGGGGTCATGTGGAGCCTGCTAGAGAGATTTATAGTAATTATGTTGTGAAAGATCCTTTGATTGAGTTGAAAGGCTTATGCCCAGAGCCTAAGCATGAGTTATATAGTTATATTGTCGAAGAAAGTAAACGTGTTGTTGGGAACTCTAGATTGTTGATGCGTGAAATTAATGGAATACGAATAGACTGATGCACTACTACTCAACATATACCATTTGTAGCAAGTTTTTTGAATAATTTATCCTTTTTTTTCTTATTAGTTATTATCAATTCCGAACATTTGGCCAAGCTGTCTAAAATTGTAATTTTCATTGATCTTATCCAGATTAAATTCTGTATAATCCATGCATGTAGGGTGGAAATATTAATCATGGAAAGCGAAATCACATGATCCATCAAATAACTAGTAGCAATTATTTAGCTGTGAAATTCGTGACAGCCTTATGGAGGAAAAACAAAAACAGAATCATATGTCCAGTTCATCTCCACATGTAACATGGTCGCCAGATTAGCTAGAAGCATTTTCATACATCATTTACCACATTCCATGTCATGTCTGTTCATTTTTCACTTTGCGAGTTTTTGTGTAGTTGTTACCATTTCTAGAAATCTGAAATAGTTTTAAGCACTGAATCAAGTAAATTAACGAATGATGAAAGTGATTTTTGGGAATTTGCAGTGTGTCATAACTTGGGAGTCTCATTGTCTTCTTCAATGTAATTTGTAGTCAAGTTTGAGAGCTTGCTGAAACTTTTTTAACAAATTAAACTTAATCAAGGACTGTAGTTTCAAGTTTTACAGTGTGAAAGGAATCAATCGTGTAATACAATGGATACGCAACTTTCATTCCATAAGACAGGAACAATATGAAAGATGCCACAAAACCTCGCATATCTTGATCCTTGAAGAACAACTAATGGGTTCTTTTAATAGAATGATAGAATGATACATGACATTAAAATGAATTGTTATCTACAGATACAACGAATGGTAAAACTAGCGAATACGTATGTAAAAAATCAGACCTCAACTTTCAACAAATGCAACCAGAAAAGCCGTAAAGAGAATTAAAAAAGAAAAAAACAATGTCGATCACCAGAACTTAGAGAAGGCCGAACAACACGAAGAATCCGAGTAAAATAAGCCAAACGATATGAACCAAGAGAAGCGCCTGACCTGACACCGGCCCACTGCCTTCATTTTCATAGTCACAAAAACCTAGCTTCGCCACCTGTACACCGGCACAAATTGCCTCGGGACATCCGCACCAGTACGTAACGTTATTGACGCCGCAAACCGGAGCGGGTCTAAAGCACTTGACAGGACATGATTCGGAGTTTACGGAACGAGGGCAGAGAGAGGTGGATCCGGTGTCATCTGACGGCAATAGGAGGAAATCCGATTTGGATTGGACACAGATAGGTGAGGCGGTTAAGGCAATTGCGGTGGCGATGATGATGAGGAGGATCGGCGATGATGATTTTATCGACATGGTGGCGATCGGCGTGCTTCCAACACAGAAGCTCGCCTCGCCTTCGTTAAGAATTGATAACAAATAGATTTAGAGGATATGGAAAGCTTAGAGGTAAAGAATTTTAGGGTTTGGGTGAGGAATTCGATTTGGGAGAAAAGGTGTAACCAAACTTCAGACTTGTTCAACGGATGTTAAAGTTGAACCCTTCGCCTATTCTTTTCTTCTCTTTTCCATTACCTTTTACTAAAAACTATTAAAAATAAAAAATAAACAATAAGCTTTTAGTCTTTTACGATAGGAAGGTTGTTCAACAATCTTTTCCAACTCGCATTAAAAAGGATAACCCAACTGGTTAACATATTGATGTTGGGTTACATATTGATGAAAGTCTGGGTCGTTAAAATTTCAATTTTGATATTATCATCTTACAATTTTAAAATTTTACATGTGAAAAATGATCTCGATCACACTCTGATTCTGATATCACCGCTTGTAAATCGAGTATCAAAAAATAGGCTATTTAACTTGAAATCGAACGTCATAACTTGCAATAAGTTTTTCAGAGCATCACCATTTTATCAATTCATTTCGAGTTAGACATATCACACCCATAATAATCGCTTTCTGATCTTTTATCTTACTTGCACATGATGAAAATGATCTTATACACAAGTGCTACAGGGTTGGTGGAAGTTTTATGGATGAGTTGTGTGGGGTCAGCCGGCTAGTCGAGGAATGTCTAGCCTTTCTCTAGGAAGTGAGAATAGGGTGTATGTGTATTCTAGTGTGTGTTGTTAGGGTTGATGTGATGATCTTCTGAGACAAATACGAGTAGTTGTGGAAGGTAGTATGGACTCGTACTACTGGAAGCACAAGACTCGTACGCGTAATAGGGAAGTCACAACCCCTTGGGTCTTGATGTGGATTGGTTCCTATGATGTGATATGTGTTTCATCTGATATCTCTCTGGTTTATTTTCAGTATGGTGTTCACGAGGGGATCCAGATCAAAAGCGAGTGATAGGCCATGGTTAACCAAGGATCAGGTCAAGGAGATGATTTGTGCTAAGGTTGTTTCTATTGTCTGGGGGCGGATACCAGAGTTGTTTACCACTATAATGGAGTTCTTTGATGACCGGTATGCTGCACTTTATGAGGCTGTTGTTGTTGCAGCCATTGCGGTTGTCGCTACTGTGGGGATTGGGGGGGGGGGGGGAGCCTTCCAGTACCGAGACTTCGACAATACGAAGCTCCCAGTGTTTGATGGAGTTTAGGATTCGATCGTTTCCATGAGGTGGCTGTCCGATGTGGAGGGATGTTTCTTTACGTGTTCCTGCCCAGCTGACTAGAACGTCAGGTGCGTTCTGAACCTTCTTCGATTTGGAACGGAGGATTAGTGGAAGTTGGTTACTGTTCATACACTCCAGAGTATAGTGCTATTGTATCTTGGGAACGATTCTATGAGATGTTCCATTCGAGATACGTCCATTTAGTAGAGAAAGAGAGAGAGAGACACAGAGAGAGAGAGAGAGAGAGATTAGCCTAGGAGTATCTGCACCTGAGGCAGGGGACAGAGTCGTTGGCTGAGATCACCAAGATGTTCCTTGAGAGAGTGTTGTTCCAACCTGAGTTTGTTACTTTTGAGCAAGCTCAGATGACCCGATACTTGAGCATGCTCAAGACAGATATCTGCCAGTTTGTGTCTATTTAGCGATATGGTTCACTCATCGAGTTATAGGAGGCCACGTGGTGGCGTGAGATTGAGATGGAGTTCCAGACGATGGATTTGAGGCATGCCCCTGTGCAGTTGCAGCCTGCGGCAAAGCGGTTCAAGGCCGCTAATGTGAGATATGGGATTCAGAGGGTTGCACATATGGCAAGTGTGGCAGGGTTCATGAGGGTCCTTGTCGATCTACTTTTGGATGCTATAAATGTGGCAAGGAGGGTCACTTTGCGAGGGATTGTCGCCATCCGGCCCCAATAACAAGCACCAGGATTTGATAGCATTGTGATCAGGTTGGCCATGTGAAGGTCAAATATCCATTGCTCGTCGCTAAGCCGGTACAGGCCCTGATGCCATCCACTTTGAGGATCATTGATGGGCGATAGGGGAGGGCGGAGCCCCCAAGGGCATGGGCCGTGCTTTTCAGCTTACTATCGAGGAGGCCAGGGTAGCGCTAAATATCGTGATTAATATGTTTCTATTTATTGTTCTGTCAATTATTGTATGGTATGCTTATGTTTGTGTTTCTAATATGTACATTCTTAGTGAACTTTTTGCCTGCTCTTGTGTTATTTGATTTGTACTTGATTTGATTTGTAGCATGGTCTTTTGGGTTTCCTTCACTCATGCAACTTGATAGGATGACTAGAGGAGAGAGAGAGAGAGAGAGAGAGAGTAAGATTTATTATATGAATAATAAATTGGTACTCAAAATGATTTTATTTATATATTATAAGATTGATATATTATTTGGAAATCCTATTATTAATTAGTGATTAGTCAAAAATTAATTTGATATAAATTTTGGGATTAAAGGAACTGATTAATAATCGAGAGGTTGTTTTGCAAATCATTGATAGTTGCAAAATTGGGCTGCTGGACTCCTTGGTATGGAGTGGACGAAATCCTATAGAAAGGCCCTATAGATTTCGTCCAAGGGCTTCTAAAAGGAGTGTCCATGGGCTGCTTGGTGCCTAAGTAAGGTATTAAGTTTCCACCTGAAAACCCTAGCAACCACAACTATTTAAAGACTCTCTTGGTTGGAGTTTTGGCTAATATGGTCTTTGGAAGAACCCTGTCTGATTTTCTTTAGTCCTCATAGAACCGATGCAGCTCAAGAGTCATAGTGGCCACCATAATGCATGATACTTTGGTAGCATCCTTGTACCTCCAGTGCCATTGAAGGGTGTGGGTTTCGCGTTCATAAAGTCTTTATAGGAACATTCATTCCAGTGTCCCTGGCTACTTTCCTGGTTTTGAGGCTGAGTTCCACCTCTTGGCCCGCCTGAATCACCGAGGTTCATTTGTGATATGGTAGCAGCCACAACAGCATTAACAGCTGCTTGAAACATGGCGGGATCAAATGGAAAGGGAGGTGGTGGAGGAGGAGGATTGTTGTTCTTTGAGCTGGGTCTTTTTCTTTGGAGGCATCTTGATCTATAATAGCCAGGAAAGAGAGGATCATAAGTCCTCTGAATTAAATCAAGAGATATGGAACAAGAGATATCTCATTATGACAGGTATAATGATCTACTAAGCGATAAAACAGGAAAGAGTTATCAAAGCAGATAAATTATCGCTAAGGAAGGAGTGAGTAGCACCACTCAGAATGAATTTCTACAACGTACTCGGCTCTGGCTAAAATACTCCCATAGTATTTTTATGTTTCGCTGTAACGATGATTCATTGTTTGGATATTAGGTAAGTTTTAGGCATGTTGCACACCATAGTCACTCCCAAGCACATGTTGGCCGTGTCTCGAATGAATATAGTTGATCAGGCTATATTGACCCTAAACACGACTACATAACTGCCCAGATTTAACCGCAGTACACAACACCCATTTACTTATGTTCTGTTCTACTTGTAGTTACGATTTCCGGCGGTTAGGTATACTTGTATACTTTTGAAAACTACTTATATTTTAAAGTATATTTTTAGTTCAGAGCACTTCGGCCCCTTAGTGTTTATAGTCTTATACCATGTAAGGTTTG